CACACACACACGCACACACGCACGCACGCACACACGCACACACACTTAGCGAATTATATAAAGTAGGATCATTGCCCTTTTACTCAATACCTACCAAACGGCATGAACGGCCTTCCACGCCTGCCACCTCTGGACAAATAACGGACAAGACGAAAACGAAACGGACAAATAACGCATTTATGCGCCGTGCGCGTACGATCATCAAGCAACCCTCAATCCTCAACCGACAGTCACGGTACATCAAACTCACGAGAGAGGTTCCGCACGAAAGCTGGTTTCATTATTTGATACGGAGACAGACATCCCAAATAGAAGGTACAATGTGAAGTGGTATAAGAAACAGTTCAAAGAACATCTTATTCCACGCATACCCGCTCACCCTTGAGTTGTGAAATGTGCAGAAGTTCCTAACATGTACAGAACAGCTACAAGAGCGTGAACAGACGAAATGGAACGGAGGAGCAGAATCGTGAGGACATGGTCTATCTCCGGCTTCCACTTACATATATCAAACAAAATTAGCGCAGAAATCCGACAATGCATTAATTGTGTTGTTTGGTAAACCTACCAGCGGAAAATACCCAGTGTTTTCAATCCCCTGTGGGCTTTTTGATCGTGCGGTACTGAGGATAGCCAGATAACTGCGTTATTTGTCCGTTTAGGCGAGATTGCATACAATGAGGGACGATATAACAAGTTCAGTATTCAGCCTGTGACGAGACACATTGGTGAGACGGGAAAGGTGCTGGGCTCACGGGTCAAAGAACATCCAGCAGGTGGATGACGGGGAGGCCCGCTCATGACGTTGCGAGTGCGAGAGCACAAGGGTTATTATTTTGATAGTAAACGCAAACTCTTAGAGGGATGAGGTCGGTGCTAGAATTCGATTACAGCGTCGTACATCTGAGAGAGAAATCCTAAGTTAAACAACCGAAATGAGCGCATTGCCATAACAAGCGAACTTCTACCATTCATTCCTTTTTGCGGGCTCTTAGATCACCGCGTAATTCTCACCTCACGACAGCCGATGGTGTCCATTGGTCCCTTGCTGTTTTCAGAATCCACTGGAACGGCAAGGCTGGATGAACCCCAAAATTTTGGTTTCTTTTGTGGCTTGGAGACGACGAGTTGTTCGAAACGTCGATCCAATAAACGGTTCCAATATGACAAGTCAGTACGACAAATCATTGTGAAATACTAACGAAGGATTTTCAGACACAAGAGAAAACGGAAAGGGACGACATCGAGACGCAAGATATGTAAGAAACGAATTCAGTCGTTTTATTCATTCCCTTCACACCTATATCACGTGTTTAGCTCATGATCACAAGTCTATGAAGCCGCTATCACACAGATGAAATCAGTTTATTTTAACCATTCTACTTACTTTTAACCAACACTGCGTCGAGACTGTAATGGAAACTTTCCACTTTCCCTTTTCCCGCATATGTGCTCAACTTTCAAAAATTTCTTTAAGTTATCTCAATGAGAGACGTTCCCATATAGTCAAACAAACTATACTTGCATCGTAACGCGCAGCACCAGCTCCTATTCTGTTGAATATAATGGGAAGGTGATAAATCGTAGGGAACTTATTTCATGAAAAATTCCAAGAACACTTAATTACCAGCAGCGGGCTTATCAAATTTCCAAATTCAATATGGGGTCGTGGCATCACTAGCCAAGGTGATGAACACGCTTCAGTTCTGCGGTAAACAGTAGATTTGCGTAAAGCCAAAAAAGGAGAACAAAAGTAAAAATTCAGAAAACAAAAGTTATAAAGCGCATGACTTCAGCTGAAGGCCTATATGGGCATGGTCCCGTTTACGCTCGAATCACAGGAAAACACTTAGCTTAAGTTGATCTTTGATGACTTCTCAATTAAGCTATAATGTCCTGCGCTAACTTCAAATTTTCTCTGGCTTAACGGGATTGCTGAAGAAAGCAACTAGTACAGCCTCGAGAGAATCTTCTAACCTCCTTATCAAGGCCACTCCCCAAGAAAAAACAATCACAAGTTTCGCAAAAGAACCAATACGAAAGTAGCGCGCTGAGAAGATCGAAACATATGTGAAAGAAGAAAGACGCGTTCTGTGCGCCGTCCATCTTCAGGTCGCATCCGCCCGCCAAACACGCGACGCATTCAACCGTGTGACCACAGACATAGCACTGTTAAAGACGACTATTTCTAGGAAGGGAAAGTAGAACAACCCACCGTGAGGTGGAAATATTCAGGAAGTTTTTGTATCTTCTTTCAATATATAACGTGGGAACAAACCGAAGAGATCGCAGCTGCTGTTTTTGGAAACTTCCAAAGTCAACTCGCCGTTCAGCAAGCAATGAGTCGTCCATCTGAAATCGCAATAACTGAGTTTTTGAGTGCTTGATTAAGGGCCCAACAGCTCGTAACAGCACCTTCTTTGGGGTTCGTTCAAGTCAAAAAGATTTGAGGAGCAAAACATATCCAGGCAAAAGTCCAGTTGCCCGAGCAGTCAATCATTTTTGTAGAAGGGTCAATGACAGGCGCCCAAATGGTAATAGTTGAGTTGATCGCTTTGAACTAAAAGTTTTCTCATTGTAAATGAAGCCACGAGTGGCAGAAATGACCACCGCATTCCACCACCGATAAAAATAGCCCACGAGAAGGGTCATAGATTGATGAGACATCTACCTGATGGAAGGCTGTTGAGCAATTGTTCACGTTGGTTCCGTAGTGTAGCGGTTAACACCCTGGACTTTGAATCCAGTAACGCGAGTTCGAATCTCGCCGGAACCTTACCTTTTGCTAATAATCCTTTGATGAGTATTTCCTTGTTCTAGGATCTGGAAAGTACCACAAAGACATAGAATTACCCACTGGGCCTTCCTCGTTTACTTATCAGCTGGTTTCTGGTAAGTATGTGGATATTAATATATTATAACGAATTACCACTACTGTGAATTACGCTTGCTATGACCTCATTTCTCTTAAAAGTTTATAATCCTCTAAAAGCCAAAGGTAATTGAATAGCATAGGAAGAGACCAATCATCGCAGTAGCGCAAGTTGCTGAACAACTTGTCGAATGGATCGGGTAATTGGCAACATTGGTAATATTACTGATTAGTCTAAATAAGGAATAAGGGTTTTAGTAATACTTTTACCCCTTCTCAATTTTCGTCGAGACCAGATTGGATTAATGCTCGCACTGGTTAAATTCAGCCCTTTTTCCCATTTGATCCGCAAAACTGATTCCTTTCAAGTCAAACGAGGTATATCTTATAAGGGATCCATCAAATGTTGGGAGGACAGAGACACAGACTCGACCACCACTTAGCCTAAATAAGCCACTTCCCTCTAATATCAAAAGTAGTCGTTAAGAACATCCTTGAAATCGACGCACAATACATGGCGTACTATAGAATCATCACAAAGCTGTCAAGCTTTAGATATAATTGTTATCAACGCAAATTCAACAAAATATCACCGAATTGCCAACATTTCAAAACCGAACAAGCCATTCAAAAGAATGAGAATCTGCTGTTTGCCCGTTTAGACGAAACGGCCATTCAAATTTCAAAGAAAATGCATCAGAAGATACGAGGAAATGGACCAGATGAGAACAAAGTCGATAGAGTGAGCTGAGGTCTTTACTGTCTTCCGGTCGAGTTACCACAGCTTGGACGACAGTACTGGAACTGGCCGTATGTATCAGCTTACTTTACCACTGCCCTCTTTCGCTTACTGAGGAAGGACCGACGGAGTGAGATGCCATGGTAGGGACGACTTCGCCCATGAGCAAATCATGGGCACAGCCTTTGAGGAAAGCCACAACAATCCTGTCAGACGAGTTTCCAATCGAAATGACCGCCATAACGATCGTCGATGGCGGCGAACTCTGAGGCGATATCATCACGTTCGTCCATATCACCGCGCTGAAAAAGATACAGTCTTATTCTCAGATTATCGATTACCCGAGCTCCTAATCAATAAATGCTCTTCAAATATAAAAGTCGACAAGATTTTTTCGAATACGAAAAGCATTTCAGGGAGAACTTAAAATGGCTTCTGAAAGATTAACGCCTCAATGATGGATAGCGGCATATCTGCGATATCTGGAACGATTGGCATAAACCACGGCACAAGATGCAAGATTGAGGTCACGTTTACCATCTGAAAGGTGAAGCGCCCAACACACAATCCTAATCCACTACCGATTACAGTGATTATTATGGCCACGAAACAGGTATAACTGCATGCGCATACGACCTGACCGTGATACAACCGCGCGATGCAGCATATGCATGGAACAAGATTTTTAAAAACCTTTCAATAACGGCACAGTCATTTGGTAAGGCTCACCTCATGATAGAAGAACACGATTTCCGTCAACACAAACTTTTCGAATAAAATCGCTCCAGCTTGACGACATTGCGCACGAGCTTTGGTCAGGTATTGCAATTGCTCTAAATGATTGCTACTGACTTTCAAAACTCGACTAGTCAAAAAAAGACAGTACCGTTTCTGTTGCCAGTGAGCGAATAGGCCTGGGCCAGTGCAATGGACAAAACGGCCCTTTCCAAAATCGAACAGCTGTCTGTTATGTCTTTTTGGCATTCTGTCAAGCTCTTCAATGCCGTTTCATAGCCACCACTCATCAACTACAAGCACTGAATGAGCATAGAAATCAACATACTAATAACAAGAGAGGCGTTCCACCTACAACGGTCTCTAGTGATAATCAACTCGTCAATCCTAGGAAAGTGGCCGCCCAAAATTCGGCCATGATGAGGTGTGCTGAGCATTCGGATCCCTTTCGGACCTATGAGGCTTCTCAAGGAAATAAGAGCTGTCGATTTCGTTAGTAGATATTTTGCTCTCCTTACAAGAATGTCATCCATTAACCAGACTGGAACTGTCAATGAGCCCCGGCAATATCCACCCGAACTACAGAGCCACCTGCTAATTGCCCGCTTTCCCTGATTCTGAGTTAGGAAGAAATCAAGTTGTTGCTGAGAACCATGACAATCTGGCAAGTGTAAGAAGGGAACGGCCCGAATACCTACTCTTGCGGCCTTCACACATTTATGGTGAGCCGCTCCTGTAAATCACGGATGTTTTTTCGTTCTTCTGCCTTATATGTTAATACTTCAACGCTATATAAGATATTGTGAAGGTGTAGAGTAATGGGACACCGTGATCACCTGGATCATATCCAGGTCTTCCGCCTAACTTTTAGAATCAATCAAAAACACACTTGTTCTTAAACTCTCTACCACCAATATGGGGTTTGGATGAACCCTACAGCTCATTGTACGGGCTAGACAGGCAACCAAATAATTTTAGAGTTCAATATGGTAGTCGGATACATGGCGCATGTCCGAAGAAAAAGAGAATCGTATCAACCATCGCGATCGATTGGTTGGCTACCTGAACAACACCAATTCTTCGTAGAGCCATTGCAGCAATGTTTCGTTGTTCGACTCCAATGGCTTCTTCACGTACACCTTGTAGCATTTCTATGGCAGCACTCCACCGATATTCAGCGCTCAAAAACATTGCCAACTGCAACTGAAGTCTGTAATGGAAAAATACATAATAGATAAAGGGTCAACAAATAAATTTTATCAAATTCATAACAATTTAACTTGGAGTTTGTTAAAATTTTCCACATCATCAATTTATAACATACTTATTCAATCGATAACGACATAAGAATCGAATAAAATTACTGAATTGAATCGGACAACCGAAATTTAGTAGAGTGGTAACAAAGTCAAAATAATAAAAAACAGAGTTAAATGGCTCAAAAGCAATTTGTATAAAAAGAAATCCTAAGTCTAAGTATACTACTGAACATGTGATTCACTCTAACTCTAGCGTCGCCTTTCAATTTGAAAATTCGTTTTGAAAATACAAAAAGTAAAGGTAAAAAATGAAAATAAAAAGCGCTGAAAAAGAAAAAAACAAATTTAAAATTCAAAGTCAATTAGCAAAGAGTTAAATGAGCAAATTGAGCGAGAACTCAGTAAGAAGCCAGAAGCCACTACTATCATTTGAAGACGATACCATAACGGTAAAAAAATCCAGAAGCGAAAAGTGAAATATGCTAGTCACCCACCTCATGTGTGTAATAACAGTACTAGGTGTTTCATAGTTGGTATGGATTGACTCCAAAAGATTCGATGCAGCAGACAACTCACTGCGCGCCGCTAACAGTATGGACTTCCTGAACACGATCTACTTGGAAAAACCGCGGGAATTTAAACACAGGTACATGGTTCAGAATTTGGAGGGTCAGAGAACTCTTCATGGTGATGGCCGTAAAGGTTCGACGGGCTGCTTATGTTGAGTAAAATGTTGGGAGATTGGTGCAGGTACAATCAGCAGCTGAGGATATGTTCACAATTTGTGAGCGGCGACTAGCGTTCAGAAGGGATATCATCTATTTAGAGAAGTAGGATCAATTATGCCGAAATGAACATAAGTCTCTGCTGCTCCACCTTACTTACTTCATTTTCCTCAAAAGACCTTCACGGCGACCGCTGTTCAAACAGTATGGGCGCCATTCATTCGAGCGGGCTTTTAGTGCAAAACATACCAGGAACGATGGCAGAATCCAGCAATTCTTTGCGGTGTATCGGATCACGGTTTGCGGCTAGGCTACTCCACCACCACAAAGATCTTCCAGCGAGCACTTTGTGTTGCTCATTCAACGGGAAACCAGAACTGCATAGTGACCTAGCCCATCCTTATAAGACCATATTCCACGATGATTCCAAGACGTCTACACTTACCAATCCGTCACCGTCATGTGCAACAAGAGAGTATTTTATGAAGAGACGGTGGATGTTGTAGAATGGTAGTGACTGAGATGTTAGGTCTGGCTATCTAGAAATCCCGTTAGGCAGAAGACAAGTATTCGCCAAGCGTGAAAGCCACTTCCTCAATGTACGCTCATTACCAGCACAGTTCATATATTTCTGAATTCATGGCCTCCGCAAAACCAAGTCCAGATAATCTCTCAAATAATGATACAGATACTCACCGTAATGCAGCTTCAGCCGGATCCAGCGTCTCTATATCCTCCAACACTGGTATGCACTTATCCCATTGCCCACGCAGAATCGCTGCATCGAATAGTATGATCCAATCACAGAGATTGACATATTGCGCTGCCTGGAACAAAATTTTCTTTCAAGTATCAGCGAAAGACACTTGTGCAATACAAGAAACACGAATGTCCACGCAACCGAGCTATGTAAAAGGTGAATATCCTGTCACATAAGCGGTAGAGTCGACAACTTTATGACAGGAAGTTAACAGCACTACACGAGATTTGGGCAGACCATGGATGACGATGCATACAAACGACATCACCAGTATCACCCACCAGCCCATTGATCACCGATCTCTTTGAGCGGGCACCAGTAACGTCTCTATTCGTCCCTCTCGCGAGCCAAAGTAGTCCAATGGATCGTCCTTGCTCGAGAGTCACGGGGCAAAGTTCTTTTGTTCAGAGCTCTCGTGAAGAAGTCTGACTATCGGGCTTATGGTCGTCCTGGTATTTGTTTGACATGGCGAGGGATCCAGTCAGTAACGGCCTTGTTCTAACGGTTCTCACTATATCGCATGACGTGCCCGTCCCTTGTCGTAATCAGCAGCATCCCTGAACTTCGTTCGAAGCTGCCGGAGCTCGGAACTCCGCTTGCCTTTCAGCGTGTACAGATTAATTCCGCGCGTCTTTTCCACAGCGCGCTGAATGACGCTCACTGCATCCTCATCCTGCTTTGGTAGAGCCCAAGTCTCTGAGGCGTATGTCAAAGCAGGAAGGGTCTCAGTGCCGAAGAGGTGAGTGTGGAGTGTGGGTGATGTTCTTTGCCTTCTCCCACTACTCCCTCGATATTCTTGAATGCTCTCCGCGCAGCGCGTTTCCTTGCTCAACTCCAGTGCTAGGTCGTTCATCATGTTAATTTCTCAGTCTGGACTCAGGTAGCTAAAGCATTCAGAGATGTTCGTTTCACCCAGCGTGACAAGAGTATCAGGTACCAATCCGTTTCTATGAACATCGCTTTAAGTTCAATCTCAAGCCGATCTGTCCTCAAGCGCTGACAAACTCGGCCAGCATTCACTCCGCCTGCTCAGTGTTCGGTGTTGCAAGCGCGATGTCGTCTGCAGAGCGGAGATGATGTAAATAGTAGCCGTCGACCTTCACTCCTAAGCCTTCCCATTCCAAATAACGCATGATGTTCTCGAGAGCGGCATTGAAAAGTTTGGACGAGATGGTTTCGCCCCATCGAACACCGCCCCCCCCCCCTCTTCTTCCCGTTGATGACTTCTTCGTAGAATGGCGATACCCTGGTCGTGAAGTTGTTGTACAGCTCACGAAGCATCCTTATATATTGAGTGGGAACACCCTGGTTGCCCAGGGCTTCTGTCTCAGCGGTGTCAGACGGGACACCGCTGAGACAGAAGCGGTAGGGGTTACGTTCAAAGAATTAACGGCATTTCGTACTCTCGCAATACTTTAATAAGTCTTGTAACGGCGTGGATACAAGCGATTGTAGTGGACCCTCCGCGAAACCCTGCTTGCTCTCATGGTTTTCCTTCATGTGATATTCTGCTAACCTTTTGACATAGTCCAATGAATGTAGAAAAAAACAAATAAGATCAATCCTAATCCTGGCATTCGCTAATCATGAAACACAACGGCTCAGGGCTACGGAAAATCTTACTAAGCGAGATGACCATAACAACGAAACCATCCGTCTCTTCCTTATCGGAACGATAGGACTAATCAATAGTAATCGGTATTCGATCTGATTAACAAGAACTAGAGAACTAGAGAGGATGCCAAACCACTACACTGCTTCTGTAGGGGTGTGTGGTCCTTCTTCACACTCATCCGTTTCGGTTATAAGCTCCAGCTACATTTACTGCCGCATATTTCCACCCATTCGAGTCTTTTAGTTAGGGATTGGTTAAAAACGAACGCTTATAAAAACATTTATCGACAACAAAGAGACCCCGTTATTTTTTTGCAGTACATGGTAATTTGGAATTCTGGAGACAATTAGGACAAAAAGACTGATTTACCTGCCAATTCAACTCCGGAGTGAAATACAGCTTCAATCGGCTTAGCATCGTTGTAACTCGATCCCATTCGCCCATCATTGCTGCTGCATACACCATGTTGACCCCAGCTATGGCCTGTGACGTATTTGAGAGAGGAATTTCAATAAATAAAATGGTCTGCTGAGGATTCACCTCTTGAAAATTTGAAACATCTATGGAACTAAATGGAAAATCTCACGTGCGCTTCCGTTTCATGCCTTGGGGCACAACCATCGGAATAATTTGTTTCCACAAGCGAGGTAGCCAGAGACTGGGTAGACAAAGCAAGGCCGTGTCGTAGACGGACACTACACGTCGTCGCCACAGCAGCGTCGCTTATCAAACGAGCTCGAGCTTCGACATCTGGACCTGCGGTGCACCTCATTGCCCGTTCCAAACCCTCTTCCACCCTAAAATTGGGGGTGTTTGGCACACGCCGCCAAAAGAAAAGCACTTACAAACGAGCTGATTTACAACGCCGAGCCGCTGTTATGGCTGTCATGAGATGTGCCAGGGCATTCAACTGTTCGAATAGCTGTTCGGACTCATCCGTACTGGCGACGGCGTCGCGATGATCATCTCCTTCAATCCTGGAAGCTCAATTACTACATCCGTCGCAATCAATTACAAATACTAGCCCATCTACCTTGGTTCTGTGTCAGCAACCCGGTCGATCATTCGCAGCAACTCATCGGTAGTGAGAAGGGTTTCTGTTGACTTCTCTGAAGGTGTTGATTCAGAAGGACTAACTACTAAAGAGACTTCGTAGATTGAAGGAGTGTCTCTGATAACTTTTTAACCTTCAGTAAGAGTTTTCAGTTCGACATCATTGGGTAGCACCGCTTCCAGTGCTGCCAGCTCTACCACTGCCATTCTTAAACAGACCACGTCATGGTTTTGAGCTTGTTGAACGCATTCATTTAGCAGTAACCGAGCAGCCTGCCTGTAAGTGAACATTACTTATCTATTCCGCAGTTGAACATGTGTATGAAAAAAACATGATAAAGTTAGAAGGCCCTCCCTTCACTGGACGATTCAAAGGAAGAATTTGAAGGAAAGTACGCTCAGAGTAGTGCCTGCTGTACCCCTCCCTATACACTGTAAGACGAAGTAACCTGGAGTCCAGGGGAGAGTAGGACAAAAGCTGAAGAAAATGCGCAGATCAACGCCGCAAAACTCCATGCTCACTTCATAATACCAGTATCTTTGATGTTGGATTCCACCGTAAAATTACCAAAATTAAAGAGAAAGCATCACATACTACGAAAATTAACAAAATAGGAGAAAGGGATTCCCATAAACACCGACTTGTCGCAAAATATTCTGCATAGTCTCGCTTGAAGCAAGCACGAAAAACGAAGAGATCGTTGATCGAGTACTCCCAAGCGACATCCACGGTTCCCAGCCGCAACGATGGCATCACTGGCTCTGAAATTAAGGAGAACAAAACCTTCGTGATCCATAGTTACAGAGCATATTTTCGAAGATAGCGAAATCATGTGGTCTATAGGTTTCCGTACGATTATGTTGTTGATATCTTTCCCAAAGAAACAAAGTATTAGGTTGATACGTAAGTATTGCGGATTTTTTCAGTAAATCTTACCTAAAGAAACGATAAAAATACTGAACAAAAAATGTTCAAATTACTCCGGAAAGCACCTACATTTTACCTCAAGCACTGCTTTCAAAATGCTAGGCACTCGGTTTCCTAAGGCAGAGAAGTTTCGATTCCATGAGGCGATCCACGCCTTGACATCGACCATCAAGTCAACCACTTGGTCTTAAGTTCTGTTCGCCAGCCGATTTTTCAATGAACGGTTGACGTGTTAGTCCGTAGGGGTTCCTGCCGGTATTTACTGGATTTACGAACAGATCCCATTCCTTACTTGGCTTTGGCTAATTGTTTCACTACGGGAAAGTTCGTTGAGAACGCTAAATGACAATGCTACCTTCGAACCTTTCTCGGAGTAAAAGGGCATAATGTGGCGAATGGGAGATGACTTTTTAGACGTATTTCTGTTAAGAAAATCGAGAAGATAATTTCTATCAAAATCCCGAAATCAATATTCCAATTGTATCGAGAGAAATTAAGTCGTGAAAAAATCCGCAATACTCATGCATCAACCTAATAGAAAACACACGAGCGATAACATACCGGAACATTGAGTAATCGAAATAAATACGCAAAGATTCAGCTGCACGGCCCATATTCATAGCACGGATATGACAGAGCATTTCCAGAAGGTGCTAAATAACATTTTCATCTTTGGAGACGCGACAAGAGAATGTCGATGTGAGAAAAATTCAGTTCTTCTGAGGAAGGATTGCTGAATAGCCCAGCAACACGACCAGAACTAGAGTCACATATTCGTAATGTTAATCTCATAAGGGAAGGATCTCAAGTCGAAGTGGCCATTTGAGATGAGACCTACACAGCTAGACGTATTTTTTGGTGCTGATTTCGAATCTGCATTCAAAATCTGCCAAACGATTCTCTGAACGAAGTTACGGAGGTGGTCTCTGGAGAGCGCTCAGCAGGAGAAAGCACAAAAGCCATGATCGCCGGTAGTTCAGCAGTGGCGGTTTGGAGTAGAGGTAAGCGTGACACTTCATAGGCATGGGACCAAGGATCGGGTTTGATGAGCGCCTGCGTTTTGCATTTGCATTTTTGGTTGTAAAAATGTTTTTATGTTAGTTTTACCACCTTCAGCGACTTTTTAATTTCTGGGGGTGAGTCAGTTCCTACTAAAACCGTATGACATCTGCTCTAACCACCAACATGGCAAAAATTCTGTTCTTATACATTTCAAATTCACTGAAGGATAACTTTTACCTATTATAGCAGATGCGATAATCTAGCACGAAATGATGATTATAATAAAGTTTTTCACTATGAGCGCAACGAATGAAAAAAATTTCGCTGCGGCCTGTTCCTTCACAATCACTTACTGCACCAGACGGAAAGCAGAACTGTGTAGGTGCCACAAAGTCAGTAAATGTGTGCTCAAGAAGCCGGCGGAATGCCATGAGTAAGCGGGAAACCTCTCAGGAGCACAGACTTGGAGGTACACCAGTAACACTAATCGAAGTTTTGATTTGCGAGTATGAACGCAAAACTAGAGATCATGAGCCGATGCATATGCAGTGATACGCTTGTACATATTTTTGAATGGCAAAAAGAAATAAACGTCCAGCGCCTGTATCAACCTCGTAGTATCAGCTGGGATGTTCATCACCTTCAACTGGTTTTGTGAAGGTAGTGCCGACTGGATTGCTTCATGATTTTAAAGGATGTCCAAGAGTCCACCAGCAGCAACATTGATGTTGGTGAGTCCGGAGCAGCCACGCATGATCGAACCCACTCCAACATCAATTAGTTGCTCACTATGTGCGTTCTAATCGC